CCCTTGAAGTCCAGCGTCCATTCCCACAGTTATCCTGGGGTGAGTGTGGGTGCATAAGGACAAGACTTGTGTTTTCCAGTAGTTTTATTCAATCGCGTCATTTTCTTAGAATTCAACCTAGGAGTTTCTAATTCGTCTTGGGCTGAGATATGCTCGTGACCGAGTGAGTCCCTTCCGAGTCCCCGATGCAGTGCCGCTTTGCACCCTTTCAGAGGCCCCTCATTTAGACCCGGGCCCCCCTGGAGGTGCGCTGCAGCGATGTTTCAGCCCTGTGTACACAGGCTCACCAGCCTCGCCTCGACCTTGGAAATGTTGTGGTATTTTTCAGTGTGTGGTGACATTTATAAGCCCATTTAAACGCCCACAAAGAGGTTGATTTCCATAGATTAAATGTCAAGTTTGAAACCGTCCAGGGTAATTGAATCGTCGAGATTGTCTACTTTGATTCTCAAGTGAGGCCGGTGACTGGACACTTGTGCTCTGTTCTGAGGCCCAAATGCTGCCCAAATTACTGCGGTCAAACTGAGTCCCGGGGGGCACCGATGGAGGTGGGAAGGATCATGGCGGTGTAATCGGATGCCTACAGAAATGTGGCTTCATTTTTTTTTTTAAATAAAGGCACATAAGTGGTTAGTGGGTGAATAAATTATTGGAGTCAGAAAAAAACCCCAACAACTGAGGTTTCTGCGATGTTAATGAGTTTATAAAACCTGACCATCTTATGTGTGGACAAGAACAAAAGGGTGAAAAGGAGACGGTGCTTTAATGTTTTAAGTGGAAGTCATTTTAAGGAGCATTGAACACATATACATAAACTTGGAGTAAATTTCTTTCAAGTTAAAGGGTAGCAAAAGGCATCAAATAGCTTCCTAGAAATTCAAATGTATATGCGTGCTCACTGTCCAAAAGATGTGTGCATCTCCAGATTTCAATCTGAGTTTCTTAGTTTTTCTTTTTTTTTTTTAATTGGGGAATTGGGGGAAGGGAACAGTTTGGGGAATTGGGGAGGGGGACCAGCCAAGTTGTTGTTCTTCAGTCTTAGTTGTGGAGGGGGCCAGTTGCCATTTGGCTGCCCATCAGCAGCTTGTGGCCTCTAAGCTCAAGGTGCTGTGTTCAATCTTAGTTGCGGGTAGGCGTGGCCACCATCCATGTGGGAGTCAAACCAGCAGCCTCGTTGATAAGAGCGCACGCTCTATCCACTGAGCAATCCAGGTGGCAGCTCAGCTCAAGGTGCTGAGTTCAGTTTTAGTTGTGAGCACGCGTAGCCCACCATTGAACAGGCTGTCTTGTTGTTACACCAGCTGAGCCATCCTGCCACCTGTTGGCAGCTCAGCGACAGCTCAGTTCGGGCACAGCATCACTGGCCCATGTGGGAATTGAACTGGTGGCCCTGTTGCTCAGAGCTCACGCTCTTAAGCTAACTCTTAACCAACTGAGCCACTCAGCCAGCCTCTTAGTGTTTTTTAAAAGAAATTTTGAAATTTATAGTCACCAGTTTGTACATTACATCCCCAGAACTCATTGATTTTATAACTGGAAGTTTGTACCTTTTGAACACCTTCATTTAATACTCCCACCCCTCAACCCCACCACCTGCTGCTGGCAACCACCAATCTGTTCTCTGTTTCTATGAGTTCATGTTTTGTTTTGTTTCGTTTGTTTTTAGATGCCACATGTAAGTGAGAGCATTCAGTATTTGTCTTTCTCTGTCTGACTTATTTCCCGTAGCATAATGCCTTCAAGGTCCATCCATGTTGCCGCAAATGGCAGGATTTCTTTCTTTTTTATGGCTGAATAGTATTCCATTGTATATATCCACCGCATTTTCTTTATCTGTTCATCTGTTGATGGACATTTAGGGTGTTTCCATATCTTGACTCTTGTAAGTACTACAACAATGAACATGGGGGTGCAGATATCTCTTTGAGATAGAGATTTCGTTTCCTTTGGATATATAGCCCAAAATGGTATTGCTAGGTCACGTGGCAGTTCTGTTTTTAATGTTTTGAGGAAACTCCATACTGTTTCTGTAGTGGCAGTACCAATTTGCAGTCCCACCAACAGTGCACAGAGTTTATCTGAGACTCTCAAATTTTTATCCTCCCAAGGAACTGGAGTTAAGTGGGTCTAACATGGGCATGGACGTGCCTGTTTCCTCCACAAGCTCACAGTGGCCATGAGGGGAAGGACAGCTCAAGAACCTTTACAACTGGGGCTTCCTAAAGGTTCAGCTGTTCATGCAGTGGTGTGGCCTGCTCAGCTCCACCTGGTCATTTCCGGTAATAGTATCTGATAACCACTTTCTCTACAGTCAGGGCTGCTGGTTGCATTGGACCAGTAAGTTAGAATAAGAATGAAAGTCAACCCACCCTCAGGTTTCAGAAGCATCACACTGGGCATGTTGGGTTCGTGCCCAGGCTCGGGGTTAAGACAGGTTAAGGGAAGTCATCTTTTTTGCTAGACTTTTTTTGTGGCTGTGGGCACGCAGATGATGGATGATGGCGCTCAGATTCACTTTCTGATCAGGGATTAGAACAAAAAGCAACTCCTGGCTTCGGAATCTCATCCCAGGCCACAGGTGTGTGCTGCCTCACACATTGCAATCAGATGGAAATTGGATCATGGTGGGGCTGAGATTAGGCCGGTACCTCGCCATTGCCCTGGGGCGGCTCAACGCAACTGTGGCGGGAGCACCTGATCACAATCAGGGATGTGGGTTTCTTCAAGGGTAGAAACTTTGCCTGCACCGATGACCAAGATGCCAAAACATTAGGATTGAAAAGAGATGGGCTTGGCCAAGTGTCCATTGTTTAGTCTACAGCAGGCTAAACATCTGGGCGACTGGGAACATCTTTGGAGTTGCATGGGCCATGTGACCTGGTCTCATGTTGACACAACCTGGGTGAAGGCCAATGAAAGACATGTGCTCAGAGGAGGGTTTTCTGAGTAGGGGACGAGAAGAGAAAACATGTATTCAATACTTTACTAGTCTCCTGGGCTGCTGCACCAAAGGACCATGAGCTGCTGGCTTAAAGCAAGAACAGTTTGTTCTCCCCTGGTTCCAGATTCCAGAAGTCCAAAATCAAGGTGTCAGCAGGGCCACGCTCCCTCTGCAACCTGTAGGGTAGTGTCCTCGCTGGCCTCTTCCTGGCTTCTGGTGGCTTGTCGGCAACCCTTGGTGTTCCTTGGCTTGTAGATGCAGCTCTCCAATGTCTGCCTCCATCTTCACATGGCCGTGTCCTTGTGTGTCTGTGTCTGTGTCTGTCTCACTCCTTTTCTTATGAAGACACCAGTCCTATTGGATTAAGGGTCCACCCTACTCCAGTATGACCTCATCTTAATCTCAGTAATTACATCTGCAATGAGCCTATTTCTAAATCAGGTCACATTCAAAGATACTGGAGGTTAGAATTTCAACATATCTTTTTGGGGACACAATTCAGACTATAATACCTGGCTCCTCTATTGTCTCAGAATCTACAGAGCTGTGACATTTCTCCTTTAAATGGGTGACAGGTGGGATGTCAGCCATGACGACTGTGGGATTTCTTGGTATCCGTCGCCTATGTGGCCTATGTGGCTGTCACGTGATGAGTGTGGGCACCACTCAGAGGGAATGACAAGGCTGCTTGAAGGGCTGCTTCTCGCATGTTCTGACTCTGCCAGGCTGGGAAGCCCGTGACAGCTTGAGTTTTCCACTCTGGGTGGGAGATGGGCTATGAGGAAACAGAACCGACTTGGTGACTGGGAGAAGGTTTTGCTCTGTGGCTCCACTCTCAGCACCCGGGTAGCTGGCTCTAAGGGTGTCTGCAGCCAGCCCCCCAGAGTAAGGCTGGTCACTTGCACCACGTCCTGCATACTTCACAGAGATCAGTGTCCCAGAACCAGAGCAGCTCAGCTGCTGGGAGCCTTTGGGAGTTAGACTCCAAGCCCAGAGTTTGCAGGGGGTGGCCCACATTCAGGGGAACTCTGTGCCCTGGTATTTGGCGTCCACAGAGTCGTGGAGTCCCTTTAGAAGAGTGCTAGGGGAGGCCAGTGTTCAGGGACCGGGGAAGGCTCGAGATCAGGAGTTCCTGGCTTGGCGAAGCAATGTCCACCTACACCTGGACAGGAAGGTGAGCAGGACAGGTGTGGGCAGATGGGCCTTGTAGGTGGATTCCACCAGAGAGAAGCCTCCTCAGACCACAGTGACGCCCACACAGGGAGGAACTCATCCCATGAACAGCGACACTTGATCAACAGAAGGGAGGAAGGAACGTGTCTCTGTGGAGGGCAGGTAACTGAGCAAGGCCCCCCCGCCCCGCCACTGCCCACTCCAGGTGTGAAGAAGGCACCACCCTCTGCTACTCAGAAACAAACACAAACCCGCTTCCACGGCCGCCTACAGCCTCTGCGCTCTCCTACTCTTTGGGGACCAGTTGGAGGGGCCTGTGGCATGCGGGTTTTTCCTTCTGGAACTCTTTGACCAGCTGGACGCCCCGCACCTTACCTCCCCGCATTTGTACGACTTGCAGCAAAACCTCAGGGTCAGGTAGGGACCAGTAGGTTAATGTCAAGTGTCAGTGGGGGGAAGGAGAATGGCCCGGCTGGCCAGCTCGGGGGCTGTAGGTGCTGCGATGGGGTGGCTGGGGCAGGGAAGTGGGGAGGCTTTGCAGAGAGCCCGTGGGGGACCCCTCCTCTCTTGGAAATTTATACTCTTGGGCAAATCTGGCAAATCTTGGGCTCATTTTGGCCTTTAAAGCCATTGACATTGCAGATCTCCTGGGAAAGGAGAGGCAAGGGGTCCCCAAAGAGCTTTTTTCCCCAGCAGGTGCAGGGATATTTGGACCCCGAAACACCTGGTTGACAATTTCATTATAAACAGGAATGGTGAGAGGTGGGATTGAAAGTGACACTGACAGGCCTAGACAAATATTTTTAAAACTAAATCACATTTAAAAAACAAACAAAACAGCCGTCCGTAGAAATTCCCAAGGTATCAAAATAAAATATTCAGAGGCTCAACTTTGCTTATTTATTACATTAGCCAAGAATGAGTATGTTACAAGAATGTTCCAGAAGGGAGGTATTGATGGATTGGAAATGTCAAAGGGCTGTTCTGTGTTATTGGCACTATCCCATGAACAAATGAGGAGGGGCACTATGTCCTCAGAGGGACGCTGGGGAGCTCTTCCTGTCCTGGGCATGGGTGCCAGGTGCCTGGCCCACCCATCACCACCCCTGGGGCCAGAGCCCCTGTCTGGACTCAGTATATGCCTTGTTTCGGCCAGTTGAGCTCTTTGGCATATGCCCCTTTGCAGCTCCTGATCTCATAACCATGCTCCAGGCACGTGTTCAGGCCGGGCACTGCGGATCTCCAGCCGATGAAGCCCTGGGTGGTCTTCGGGACCGGGGGTGATGGAAAGACCTGGAATGGAAGGGCAGGGGCTTTGGTCACCTGGGGCCACAGCGACATGAGGCGTGTCCACAGAGGCATCATGCTTAGCCCGTGAGGCCTGGTGTGGAAAAGACAGAAAGCAAAGCCAGGGTCCCTGTGTAGGGCGTACGTTCCTATCAGCGCCACCCTGACTCACATCGTCCCTGAAAGTACGGCTCATCAAACACGTTTCTTTATCTCATAATTTTAACCCATTTGATTCATGACCTCCAGTAAAATAATTTTTATTTGGTAAAAGAGCAAAAAAGGGAACAAAAAGTAAGGTGCAGAAATATCAAATGCAATAGTTCACCTGCCTTTTATAAAATGTATGACAATATTGTCAGATGGTATCCTGGCAGTTATACATCTTCCGGTTTGGATTAGAAGACTTTATGATATGTACACAACACACACATACACACCCCCCCGAAACTGTAGGGATCACAGGAATGAAAAGCAATGGAATTTAATTAAAAACCAAAAGGAAAACAGGATTCTATATGAAGTGAAAAAGCACAATTTCATTTGTCAGTTCCTTGGACTTGAAATTTTTAGAAAACGAGGGTAAATGATTAGGCAGTTTCCTCCTCTCCATGTGAAATAATCATCTGTTCTGCTCTTACATGGTGATTTGAACAAAGACAACAGTGAGGAATATTTGTTCTAACAGAAGAGCCGAGATAGAGACATTTAATATGCTTAGGGTTACGAGTCCACACTTGTCTGGAGGAATCTCTGAGCGAGGCGGTGGCAGAAGGGGACGGTCCCAGTGGGCCTGCTGCCACTGGTGGACGAAGCCCCTTTACATATGTTCTTGATGAAGTATTAAAATTAATCCCCACATGCAGGGGGTGCCATCAGTAAATGCCAGAGGGGCCACTTGGGTGGAATTGCCCAGAAGGCAAGATTTCTCTGCCTGGCTTTTCTAGATGGGTCTGGCCCGTGGGAACGAACACACAGACCAGCTTTCAAGTCTCTCTACAACTTGTAAGAGAAATGCAGCTCAAAACCACCCAGGGTGCCCCATGTAACCCACCAGATTGGCAAAGATGGAAACACCACCATTAACCAGGGCGTTATGCGAGAACTGGTCGGTTCATTCTCTGTGAAGGGCAATATTGCTGTTATCTACGAGAAACGGCGGAGGTTAACTCCCCTAGAAGGCCACGTTCATCCTGAGTTTTCATCCCCTCTTCCCATCAGGACACAGAACCGCTCTCTCCATAGGTGGGCAGAGGACAGAAACCCACGACCAAAATGACAGACCCACGAGAGGAGGCCCAGGGATGCATGGACCTCAGCAGTTTCTAGTCTCTGACCCATGTCCACAGCTGACTGGTCTCCAGTGGGAACACCATCTAAGTGTTCTCCCCTCTGGGATTGCCCCGTCATCACTCAGCAACCAGAGTGACCTTTGAAAAAGGCAATTGTCAACATGCCACAGCCCTGTTTCCATCTCAGGTTGGACTCAAAGCCCAACTGCTTCCTCTGGCCCCCCCGCGGTCCAGGGGGATCTGGCCCTGCCCACTTCTCCACCCACATCCCTTCCCTTCACACCCCTACCTCACCACAGCTCACCAAGCGCCAGCCCCATCACCATCCCAGGCTGTTCCTGAAACATACCAACCTTTGTTCTGCCTCAGGGCTTTCGTACATGCTGTTCCCTATGTGGGGATTGCTTTTCCCGGGGTTGGCTCCTTGTCATCCTTCAGACCTCAGCTCCACAGGGGGCCTTTCCTGACCACCCTATCCTCTGTATCCTCTATCATCACTTGCCTATTTCCCCCATGGCATCTAGCACAGCATATCACGATTTTGTTGGTTTTGTTGTTTCACGTTGGTGACCCAAGCCCAACATGTGTGGGCTGGAGTCTCGTCTTCTAGTTCATCACTGCTTGCCCAACTAAGCACCTACTAATAGCTAATAGTCACTGGCATTCTCTAAAAGTGCTGGGCACTGTTTGAAGTCCTTCCCACCAGGCATCATCCCACCAAACCCCAACCCCACTCCCTGAAGTAGGTGCTTTCAACAACCTCCATTGTACAAGGAGGGAACAGGGACACAGAGAGGTCAAGCCACTTGCCCCAGACCACACAGGAGGTGAGCAGCTGAGCGATCTGAATCTAGAGGCCAGTCCTTTCCTGCCCACTCCCTGAAGTATTTGCTGAACCAATGGATCGAGTCCCTCTGCTCCAGCGGAGCCCAACGCAGCGCAGTGGCTCTAGAAAGCACACAGACAGTAACCTGATGTGCCCCCCACATGTGGGTGTGGAAAGGGCGTGGAAACTGGACTCCCCACGTGCCCAGCGCTGCTGAGTTCTTACCGTTGGCGGTTGGCTGTGTGCGCCTGTGGTGAACAGAATTTCCAGCGGGGCTTATTTTTTCCTTAGGGAAATAAGTATTTAAAAAGACTTTGCAAACCTTGATGTTTTTCTCCACTGGGGTTCCTGGCCGGATGTGGAACCACTGGGGAAGCTCGACTTTGGGCTTCGGGGTGGGAGGTTCTCCTTCACACTGGATCAGCTGAAACATAGACCCCAGAGACAGGGAACCCCAGGCTGAGCCGGTCGGCGTGACCTCTGCATCGTCCCCCAGAGCGCCCAACTTTACAGATGACAAAGTGGGGTTCAGAAATGTTACGGAGCTGGTCCCCATCACACAGTTAGAAAGGGGCAGAGGGGGGCTTGCACACAGTGACGTGCTGCGCCCGCCTGCTACCCCATGCAGCCTAATTTATATTCACCAGTAGCAATTTGAGAAAACTTCACAGGTTATGGATTCAAATTAAAAAATGCCAACAAGGCTCCAGGACCAACCTTTAAATTATTAGAGGAGGGCCCCCCCATTCCTCCCTTTTAGTTTTTAAAGCACTTTTGAACTCTTCAAAAGCCACATTAATTACATATAGAGAATATTAATATAGACTCTTTATGCATATTGTATTAATAAGGACTTATTTTATGCATAAAAGTTCAAATTGTATAACTATCTAAGCATTAAAAATATTTCAAGAATGGCATCATTTCAAAGCGAGTGGTATGGGGTGAGTTACCAATGGGGTTTACACCGCCTTGAATCATGAACGTTTTGAATAAGGCAGCTCTTAGGTAGGTCTGCTTCCCTCCACAGAAATGTGGCTTCCTCGTGCTGTGTTTGGCGATAGTCTTGAGAGGTGGCAGATGCATGGCCACCGTCCTGTTGAAGCCCACACAAGCATTTCGCGGGCCTGAGTGGTGTTTATATATCAGAACCACTATTCTAGGCTCAGAAGACTTATCGACACAGTTTGAACCGCTGGAATATGCATTTGGCCTCTTTGAATGGTTGCACTCTGCTGGGCTGATGGTGGCTGCATCTGGACGGGGCCAGCGGTCTGTTTGCTGGCATCCCCATCACTCCCTATTAATTATTATGCCTGGGCCTTTTCCTTGTTTCTGTTCCCTATCTCGTTTAGGAAATACCAAGGTATTTTCCTAATAATTTCTCTTGTGTTAACCCCGCCTCACCATCTCATGCCATCGGATCTGTCACCCACTGAGGCAGGCAAGGACTATTAACCCATTTTACAGATGGAATCAGACAGACCAGCTTCTGCCCTGGCGCCTCTCTTTATTAGCTGTGAAAGTTGGTACTTTTTTGAGCTCAATATCGTAATTTGGAAAATGGGCATAAAACAGCACGGGGGTTGTTGTTTCTACACGGGGGTAGTTGTGCAGATTAAATGAGCTGGTTCAGATGAAGCACCCAGGACGTGCCTGGCCCCATAGTAAGGGCTCAATAAATTCGTGAAAGGAAGGAAGCTTCAGGCCCCAGAGGTGGCAGTCTTTGCCTGCAACACACTCTTACATTTTATTCTTGCAAATTATACACGTCATGACTGTTTATTCTTGGAAGTGATCGATTCTACAACCTCTGGGCTGATGAAATTCACATTTACCTCCTCCAAGGGGGTGGTTAAAAATCCCCAGTTCTGGGCCCAGTTTTGCCATGCTTTAGTTTCAGCCTTTAGGCGGCGTCTCCTGGAAAAGAAAGTTCCTAAGTGTTGCACAACATTCAGAAACGGTTCAAGTAGCAAGCCCCCAAAGGTCCATTGGAGAATTTTAGATTCTTCAATGCATTGGCACTGAAGGATGACTCTGTGCCAGGGAGGGGCGAGGTGCCAGCGGGGACAAGAGCCCGTGTCGCCGTGAGGGACACACATGTCTAAGGGACCAGAGATGCTAGTTGGATGGCGCGGTGCATCGGGGCAGACAGGACTGGGCTGACTGCCCAAGGGGCTGTCTGGGCACGACACACCTTAGTTTGGAGGCCTCCTGACCCACAGTGATGGGTGTGTGTGAAATCATTACGGAGGTACATATTCAGTACCGTTGTTCTCAGGGCGAGGACCAGGGTGGGGTGAGTGAGGACCCTGGGGTGCAAAATTTAAGGAGGCACCCACTCTCACGTTCCTGCAAGGGCAAAGCCAGCACTTACATGACCTTGAGCCTTAAATATTGCACCCCAGGTGCCTCACTCACCTCCCCCAGTCCCAACCCTGCTTTTGCCTCACGTTAAATATAATTGGTATATCATGACCTAAGAACTGAGTTGAGCTGCAGTTGAAGAGCTGGTGTGTCAGATTTTGCAAAGGTCTAATGTTTGTTTATATTGGTTTTCAAGTTTCTTTTCCTATTTTGGAGTCAATAGGTTGCATCCCCACCCCGCTCCTATGTTTCAACAGTTCCGGACGCCCTGGGCACTTTGCCTTGGGCACTGAGCATCTGTCTACAGCAGTCTATTTCCAATGGAGATGTAGCATGAGCCAGAAATATGAGTCACACATGTAATTTCAAATGCTCTAATAGCCACATTTTAAAAAGTAAAAATAAGCAGGTGAACTTAATTTTAACATCACTTTTTTGGGTATGGAATCTTCAAAATCTGGTATTTTACATTTACAGTTCATCCCAGTTTGAAACTAACATTTCAAGAGCTCAGCAGGCCACTTTGAATGTTGGACAGAATAGTCTAAGGGTTTAACTGGCTCTGTTTACATAGGAAGGGCCATCTGATTTGGGTCTTGAAGGATGAGTAGGAGTTTATCTAGTGGAGAAGAGAGGAAAGGGCATTCTAGGCAGAGGGAACCTACCCTCTGCCTAGAAATATGGTAGTATTTCCTATTGGAGATACTTACATAAAGATAAAGATATAAAAAAATTGTTGTTTATTTTATGCCAAATAATATTGGCTTTCCATTTTCAAGAATGATATAAAGTTTCCTATAAAAATAAAATTATTAAGTGAAACAGAGCCAGTTTAAAGAAAAATACAAAGTGACTACTATAGGCTTTACAAGAAATGGTAAAAGTCATAGATGACAAACAAGATAACTGAAGTGAAGGCACGCAATTATGGCTTGTTGTTACTGAGATTTGCTTACTGGCCTCTAAACTAGTAACTTCCCATGTGGGTTAAAACTTCAGAAAGATGGGATATTTAGCAATCAGAGAGAATGCCAAATAAAAGCAACCATTGCAAATGTCTGCCGAACGTAAATCTGATAGAAAGTTAAATTTCTTGTTACATGAAAAACCAGGAAAAGCGAGCGAGCGAGAGAGCGAGAGAGAGAGAGAGAGAGAGAGAGAGAGAGAGAGAGAGAGAGAGAGAGAATAAAGTGCACATGTATCGCTCATTCAAATTGGACAAATATCAAGATTTTGTTTAGTTTATTATTTTTTTAAATTAGTAAATCTTAAAAATAAGAACACCTTAGTCATTCTCAATAAGCAAAGCTTTGCAGATGGTTGTGAAGCCAGATGCAAAAGCTCCCAGGCTTTGTGGTGTGTGTCATTAAGAGAAGAGGGAGAAGGCGTCTCCCAACGTCCTCGCGCCCCACCAAGGCCCCCCGACCACCTCCAGGACTTGGGGGGAAAACTGAAGTCGCCACGTGTGCACACTTCAGGTGGGATCGGCCCAGCCCACCGGGTGACCGGATCCCTGGCGTTACCAGATCTCATCCTGAATTACGAAGTTCATGCGCTCGGCCGCCGCGGTGCTGATGGGTTTCTGAGCCATGGGACCTGGGATCTCGGTTTGCCCCACGCGTTGTGGCCTTTGGCTCAGCGTCTCGCGTTGCCAGGGAGACCAGTTGCCAAGCAACGTAGGACGCGGAGGCGGAGGCGGCGCCGCATCTGGCGGGGGTGGGGACGCTGTGCTCTCGCAGCGTCGGTGCGCCCACTGCCAGCCTCTGCCCCGCGCCGCGTTCTTCGCCCCCGTCCCTGGCCACCTGCTTGGCCGGCTGCAGCAGCCCTCCTCCTCTGCGGAACGCTTTGGGGAAATCTCAAGACCTAACACCCCAGCCTCCTTTAAAATCTAGACCTGTAATGCAAGTATCCATACCGACAAGAGTGCCAATCCTGGGCACCACGCCTCATGACTTCTGTCACAGAGAACGCACCCCTGTAACCACCGCCTGGATCACGAAATGGGACATTCCAGCCCACCCTCTCGTCGATTTCTCTCCGCAGAGCTTAGATTCATCACTGTTTGAACTTTGCGGGGCTGGTCATCCAGGTGTCCCCTGAGCCTGGCGTGCGGGGCCCAAGCTCGTATGCCAGAGGTTCATCCACGTTGCTGCGGGCAGGGCTGGTGTGTTCATGTCCATTCCTGAAGTGTTCCCTCAGCTGCTGAAGCCACTGGGGCTGAGTGGGCCACCGTCACAGTGCTGCTGTGGCTTCTGGGCAACATATGTGTGCATCTCTGCCGGCATCCACGCTCTATAACAACCCCCAAGTGACATCCACAGATAATATCGCCTCCAGACGGCGCGCCCCACACTCTCTTTTCATGCCCATCAACATCGATCCCTCATCATTGGGGTGTTCAATCGGTGTTTGTCGACTGACTCGTAGACCCTCAGGGCTTCCGCCGTACCAGGCCGTTGTCATAGGCCTGGAACTGGAAAATGGCTCTACGGGACAACAGTAAGTGGATCAACGCACAGGGAGGGGGGACATGTTCCTGCCTGAGCAGCCACGGGACACGCAGGGGTCCAGATCCACATGGGACCGGGAAACTGAGGCGGCGTTCTTCTGCTGATTGGCAGGTCATCTCCCAATAATTCCTAAGGCCACTCTTCGGGGATATGGGCATTTTTATCTCCCAATTGGGTGTCTGTGATTCTCCCTGGCACGTCTCCCTTTCCCTGACCTCTTCCCTTATCCACAGATTTGTGCCTTTATGGGGTGCTTGGTGGAGGGGTGTTTTCCCCTCGTAACATGCTCCCCACACCCAAAGCACGTGATGCTGTTCTTGGCTGTCGGAAATGCTGGGTGGAGGCCCAAGACTGGGGTGGTCCCAACTGCCCACTCAGCCAAAACAGCGAGGGGACAGGCAGGGGCTGGAATTGGGGCTGAATGGGCTAATTAATGAACGTGTGACACACCACGCTCAGGGCAGAGCGAGTCGTTGGCCAGGCCGGATTGCCGTGGGGTGGATGGGTGTCCAGGCAGCCTGGGGTTTTCTTCCTGGCCTTTTCTTTGAGGTTGCCATCCCTACAACAGGAGAGAAGATGGTCTGGGGAGAAACGTGAACAGCGGACGGCTTGGAAGAGAGGAGGATGCATCAGGTGGGGCAGCAGTGTCTGCTTCTCCCTTGGGAAGCTTCGAAGATGATTCTGTTAAAATGATTAATTAAGAATAAACTCATTTACCGAACGTCTCTATATACCAGACCCCGAGGGTTCATTCATTCTGCAAATGTTTGCCGAGTGCCTCCTACATGCCTGGGGATCTAGGAGGGAACAAACCAATAGCTGTTGTCCTCCTGGGGCTGACGTGTCTGGAAGGAAGACAGACAAAGAAATACAGAAACCAGATAATGCCAAGGAGAGCTGTGCGCTGTGGAGAAAGTTAAATCGGGGAAGGAAGCCAGTGGTGACAGAGTCAGAAGATGGGATTGTTTTAATAAAGGCCTCTCTGAGGAGCAGACATTTGAGCACAGAGCTGGTAAGGGAGGGAGGGACCCATGCATAGGGATTCCCTCCTCCATGGAGGAGGGACGGGCAGAGCAAAGGAGCTGAGGTAGGACCAACCTGGGGTGCCTGAAGAACACTGAGGAGGCCGGGGCAGGTGGGAGTTCCCTGGAAAGCGTGGCCGATGCAGAAATGGAAAAGCAGCACATGCTTCCAGGAGTTCAGTTGAGTAGGGACACGGGTGCGAATGCAGCCAGGTGACAGTGCAGCCTGAGGTATGCAATTATAGTAGGATGAGTGTGATTCACAGCGAGCCCCCGGTGAGGCAGAAGGGGATGAGTGAGTTGGGTTTTGAAGGATGACTAAGAGTTTGCTAGTTCTGCCCATTTGCCTCGGAAATATCTGCAGGGGGCACCCTGGGAGACAGGTCCAGGACAATAAATGGGTAGAGGGTTATGGTTAAGTGCACAGGATGTGGGTGCAAGTCCTGGCTCTGCTGAGCACCGTTTCCGTGACCTTGGGTGAATTGGTCAGCCTCTCTGAGCCCGTTTCCGCAGTGTAAAATGAGCTTGCAGGGATCCTAGGAGGCTGGAAAGGGCTGCGTACAGAGCCTGGAGCTGTTGGTGCTCACGCATGACGGAGAGCAGCCCCCAAGGAACAGCACGTTGGTTGCCCTGGCTTACGGGGGCCTCAGCCCGAGGCATAAAGGTTTGGGGGACATGGAGCTTTGAGTGGAACTGCGGTTTGCTTCTTAAAGATGTTGGTTTTGAAGACGAGGCTGTTGCTGGCCGGTGGAGTGGCCTGGAAGGCCGATTCCTTCTTTCCTGAGAAGCGAGAGAGGAACAGTGCTACGTTCCCTGGGGCCCGCCCTGAGTAACCACCGTGGCGCCAGCGTTCCCCAGTCCTGGCTGGGTGCTTCCTTATGTTCTCATTGCATGGAGGAGGGATTCACTTGGGGCCATTTTGCAGAAGGGAGAACTGGCTCAAACAACAGGTGGAAGAGAAAGGATTGGAAGCAAACCCTGAAGCACCCCCCGTCTTGCCATAAACTCGGGTGCCCTTCCTTCCTAGAGGTGGGACCCTGCAGGAAGGTGGGGTCCATAGATCCTGGTCTCCCCCTCTCTCAACTATCAAGGGTGCCCTTTTCCCTCTGGGTGATTTCCAAGTGGCTGGAGCTTGAGCTCGGCTGTGGGGTCGAATCTAAGCAGCCGATGACAGTGGGGGCAGAAGCTGAGTTCTGGCTTTTCCGAGGTGATGTCTGCCCGAGGCCAATGGTCTCCTCCTCGTGGTGCTTGTCAGCAGAACCAGGACCCGCTGTGCTTTCCAGCAGTGAGGCTGCTAGAGGACTGAGATCACGTACAGACCCCGAGATACCAGCTCCCCAACCTTCCGAAGACCCATGGGCACACACTTGCTTCAACCAACTGTGCCCAGAGCCCAGGGCTCACTGTCCTGCCAGGCTACGTGTTATCAAACCTTAATTAGCATCAGCACCAGAACCTTCTACCAGTAGTGCTGATTCAGCAAATAGAAATACAGGAGGTCCAGTTCACTTTGAATTTCCTGGTGCACATTCACACTATACTATACTATACTATACTATACTATACTATACTATACTATACTATACTTATGCTAAGAAATTATTGGTTGTTAATTGTTAGCTGGTGTCCTGCGTCTTATCTGACCATCCTGCTCACAGTGGGTTTCTTCACTGGTGTAAATACCACAGGCAAATTAATACATTCATGTGTATGAAATTCTATTTATTTTTTATATCTGGGGGGGGGGTCTCTTTTTTTCCGTTGTTGTATGTATACCCTTCTCCTTCTCTCCTGGTTCCCGGGGATGAAACCTCCTCCCTAGGATATTCAAATCCAGAAATTCACAGACCTCTGACAGACACAATGTTCTCCCCTAACGCTTTTATTTCTTGTGGAAAAGTGTTGTGCAGCGTAGAGTTCACACAGGAAGAGCTGAGGGAGGGAAAAGGCTGCCGTCCTTGCTGATTGGACGTGAGAAACAAAGGAAGTATTTACAGCTTGCACAAGGTTCGCCGTGTCCCTGTATATTAATATTTTTGGCCCTCTCTCAGCGTTCTGGGACAGTTTTTAAATTTTTTTTCCATCTTGCTGTTGCTGTATAAAACATTGCGGCGACTGGAGCCAACTGCTTCTTTTGAGTTTTTAAGCTTAAACAGTTTTCTTTTTTATTTCATGACTTTCCCCCCCCCCTCCCCAACCAAAGCAGGCTTTGTGCTGCGAGCGGCCCCTGCCAGCCCTGTGCCGTTCTCGCAGCATGGGCGATTATTACCTCGACTGTCTGACAAAGGCCCAGAGGCTTTAGCCCAAAGTGCCAATTTCCAGGGAAGGCATTCGATGGCTTCACCGAGCAGCCGCTTCAGGAACTCGGAAGTTCTAGCCTTTCACACTCATTATGTTCTCTTTAGTCACAGCCAAAGATCTCGTTTACTTCATAAATAGTCTGCACTCCACACACCTAAAGGAACAATTAACTTGGTTCTCTGGGTCTTATTGAGAAGAAAAGAGCTAACCCTCCCACCCCACAGCACCCCAGAAGCCGCCTTCTTGGGAGCTTGCTCTCCATTTGGCCTAATTATCAATTATTGCCCCAATTAGAGGCCCCCTGTGAGGTTGCGGGTGCAGTGTGCCGCGCCCTTTCTCTCTTTCCAGCCCCTTCCTTGCCAGCCTCTCCTGTGCCAGCTCTAGGATGTGAGAAAAGCCCAGCGTCTGTGTGAAAAGAAAAGTAAGCTTGGTTGCAACTAACTTTGATTTCCGAGTGTGAATAACAATTCCCAACCTCGGTCCTTTGAGCTCATATGTGACCAGGAAGCAGAGGGTGTCCTGTCCTGGGGTTTCCCAATTTGCATCTGCAATGGAGCCTAGGCCTTGAGAAGGAGCCTGAGAAGGAGGTCAGACATATGCGTTCTCTGACCATGGAGGTGTCACCTCTGAAAGGTTTGGATGTAGCTCTCAGTTACATACTGAACTCGAGTGGGAACTTGAATGTGTGGCTCTGTATTATTCCAGAGATGTTCTACTGAGTTGGACTGGCAATGCCGGGGACAAGGCTGCCCAGGCGGGGTGGCTTCCCAGGTAGGCCCAGCTGCCCTCGGTCCTGCAGGGAGACTGGAACACGGGGCAGGAAGGTGAGGAG